ATTAAAAATAAAGCATGAGAGACTATGAATCAGTCCTTCAGTAGAACCTTTATGTGAGATAGTGAATCTCAGTCCTTAGAAATCTAGCCTACATACTCTCTGACATGTCAGGGGGCAAAAGATTCATGGGTACCATGTAAGAGAAGGTACAGAGAGCACACAATATAAATTGAACATACAATGAATAGAGGCTTTGCAAAGAAGGATTGGAGGAAAAGAGACAAGGTATTAGTTGCCTTTGGTCTTTCTTGGATAATGGGATTGTGGTGATTTCTTTCTTCTTCTTCTTATTTTTTCTGTATTTCTTAAACTTTCCATTATGGATATAAATTACTTTATAATGAAAAAAAAAAAAGAATGAAAAAACAGACAAGTCTAGCTTTATGCTTTTCTTCTCATCTTCCTTTAGTGATGATTCTTCATTTCTTGCCTTTTCTATTTCTGATATAAGTAAAAATAGCATAAAATTAATGTTCAACCCTGGAATACATTCTTTACACTTAATATTCACCATGCCATTTAACTTTTAAAAGATTTCTGTGTCTTCCCATCTAAAAGGTTTACCCATTCACATGAGTTTGTATAATAGGCAAAGAGCTAAACATCACTTTACTATGTACCGGGCACAATTATAAGTCCTTTGAATGTGTTAATTTATTTACTCCTCACAACAATCTTATGGGGTAGGTGCTATTATTATCCACCATTTTACAGAGGAGGAATCTGGCACAGAGGGTTTAAATTACTTTCCCAAGGTTTCATTCAGTAGATGGCAGAGAAGATTTTGAAACTCAGACACTGAAATTCCAGAGTCTGGTAGATGCTTAACCATGATACAACACATATACCTTCATCCTCTGACTTAGTAATTTTAAAAGCTTACTCCATTTTGCTCTAAAAAAACCCAAACTCACTGCCATTAACTCGGATCCGACTCATAGTAACCCCTCCTTGGGTTTCTGAGGCAGTATCACTATGGAAGTAGATTGCCCAATCTTCAGTAATATAAATTCATTGATGGAAATAAGCATGTTCTGTATCTATAAATACCTTTGATTTCAGGCAATAAATAATTTCAGTTGTACTTTTTGCTCTTGTAGAAATGTTATTCTTTATCTAAAAGTCAGTTGGAAGCCTCCATTTTGCTCTTCTCTTTTTGACAGAATAATGTATTGAAGGATCTTGCCATGGAGACATTACCTACCTCCTTATGCACCATTTTATTACTTCTTTGATAAAGTAGTATAGCTCACGGTTGGATAGAGCTTGGAACATCTGATTCCTTAATATTATTTCCTTTCATATTTTGTGTGCATTCTTTCTTCTTATCTACCTCAGAGTGTAGAATCTTCTCAACTATTAAAGTCTGCTTACTGCATCATAGAGAATAACATGTCAGCAGCAGCAGTTTAATATATTTTAGATAGAAATATAAACAATACTCTTCAAGCAGCTATGGAAGGACATGGAACATTAAACCAACTTAAAATACAATGCATAAAAAATATTATCCAGAATTTCTACTTCACAGTAAGTTAATAATGTCAGAAGAAATGAAGAGGAGAGGATATGGAAATAGAAGAAGAGGAAGGGGAAAAGAAAACAGAAAGAAAAGATGAGGGAACAGAGAAAGAGGAATTGACAAGCAAAGACTGAATAGTCAAGCTACAGAGAAATGTTATTAGTTGCCGATCAGTTGATTCCTACCCATGGCAATCATATTTGTTACAGATTAGAACTATTCCATATAAGGATTTTCTTAGCTGGAATCTTAATGGAAGCAGATTGCCAGGCCTTTTCTTTCCATGTTACTGTTAGAGCTCCGTCAGTACTCAATGACCATGCCACACATCAGGGTATCCAACAGGAGATTTTATTAAAGAGGCGAAAGGGCGCCTGCACTGAGGAAGGACAGAAGAAGAGGAGGAGAAGAAGAGAAGAAGAAAGAAAGAGGAAGAAGAGGAAGAGGAAGAGAGGAAGAAGAAGAGGAAGAGGAGGAAGAGGAAGAGGAGGAAGCAGGGGAGAGGGTGGTCTTATATAGACCTGGGGTTAGGAGGTTGTA